TGTTGCTTTAGAGCCTGTCATGGAACTAGCTCTTGTAGACCAGGCTGGCCCGAACTCACAGAGATCCACCTGCCTCTGCCTCCTGAGTACTGGTATTAAAGGCATGCACCACCACCACCCAACCCTATTCCCTTGAGTTTTTAATTAAATTTCCAAACATGTGTTTAATAGAAGACATACTACTCTTTTCAGTATTAAAATTAACTATAAAGTAACTCATAATATTGATTCAGAATCTCCCCATAATTAAATATACTACTTTTGTCTTAGCCAGAGCAATAAGACAATTAAAAGGGTTCAAAGGAGTGCTAATTAGAAAGAAATCAATGTATACATACAATATGTATCTACACATATATAAACACAAATATATATATGAAGAGCTCTAACCAAGTCAATAAAAAACTTGTATAATAAAAAATTTAAAACATTGAAGACAGAAATTGAAGGAGACATCAGAAGATCTGAAAACCTCCCATGATGATGGATGATAGGATTCATTCAACGACAATGGCCAAAAGACCTAAAGAAGAAAAAGACTTTCTTAACCTTAAGTGAATTTATATTTTTCAGCCAAATTGATTAAAACAGCAGTAATCACAGCTGATACATTACTATATATGATTGAATATAATTTGTTATTGACTTTAAATTATGTATTTTTAATAATAGAACTTATTGATTGCTGATTGGTTCACAATCATGCCACATTAGCAAATGTAACCTTGTTATCATTTTAAAAGCAATTAAAAATCTCTGAATTAAACTTAATATCCATTGTATTTTCATTGCACTAAAAGTTCTGAAAAGTGTTTATATTGCCCCTTAAAAAATGTATTACTCTCAGATAATAAAATACTGATTAGTAAGCAGTTCTTTAGATACTACAGTCATGTCCTAGTAATACACCAACAGTTTCACATTGTATTATCATTAAAGATATGGGAATATTTCATGCATTGAATTTGATGGAAATTTGTTATTAGCTATCTGTAAAGCCTACCCCAGAAGAGGAAGCCGAAAGACTGTAAGAGCCAGTGGGGAGAAAATACATCAAGGAACAAGCTGTTCTAGATAAAGTAGATCTGACTTTCATATAAACTCATGGAGATATGGCAGCACGCATAGGGTCAGGACAGGTCTAAGCCAGCTTTGGTCCCAGTGCTGAGAGAGGAAGTGGACAAGAGCTCCCATCCATAACTCAGAAACTAGGTCCAGTTGATAACTGCCCATAAAAGAAAAATCAGTATCTCAGAACGCTTTGTCTGGGCATTTTTTTTTTTGTTGTTGTTGTTTTGTTTTTTTTCGAGACAGGGTTTCCCTGTGGCTTTGGAGCCTGTCCTGGAACTAGCTCTTGTACACCAGGCTGGTCTCGAACTCACAGAGATCCACCTGCCTCTCGAGTGCTGGGATTACAGGCGTGCGCCACCACCGCCTGGCCCTTGGGCATTGTTTTTTTTTTAACCTTAACGTTCTTTGTTGCTGTTGTTCCTTTGTTTTTAATGGGATTTCTGTGTTTGTACTTCCCTGTTTGTTTTGTCCTATTCTGATTTGTTTTAAGGAGTCCTCACCCAAATAAAAACGAGAAGCGTAGTTGAGTGCTGGAATGTCTTAACTCATTGCTCCCTGCTTTTGACTGTGTTGGTAACACATCTAGGTCTTTCAAGTTGCTGCCACTTTGACCTCCCAACTCTTTCTACCCCACATTGCTTCGGTAGGAGTCTCTTGTCATAGCAACAGGACAGAAACCTCTAATGGTTTGGATGACTATTCCCTGGGGTTCGTGTTTAAAATTCTTTGTCTGAAAAACGACACCCTTGGGAGGCAGTACACTTTAGGTGGTAGGAGATAGTTGGGATATTTTTTTTTATTAATTTATTTACTTATTTATTTTGTGATGTGCTACTGACTGGGATTTTTGAGAAAGGCCGTTCCCTTATCAATCATTTTATTTCATAGCTCATGAGCTGTTAAGTTTGATTCAAAACACACTCACCCCTTCACTACCTAACATTGCACCACTGCCTGACAGCACTGAGCCTACCTGGTCTTGGCTGGACCTGGCCACAGAGTATCTAAAGAAACCTTTCCTTATTAAATGTTAATTAGCTCAAGTAGTTTAGGTGTAGGAAACTAAAAAAGGACTGGGGAGAGGGGGATTGCAAAGAGGAAACTCTGAAGGTCAGAGAGGTCTATGTAAACCAGTCTAGCAAGTTTTGCTTGTCATTTGTTTGTTTTGTTTCTTTTGTTGAAGGTAGGACTAGTGGTTTGGCAGCACTCAGGACTGTGAAGAATGAATGACCAGGTCGGGTATCTAAGTGCTCAGATGAAGTGCTTAGAGAAAAGAGGGTCCTTAAACTTATTTTACAAAGAAATTACATAGGAAAAGATTTAGGAATTTAAATTTGCTCAAGCAAAGCCTCTCCATGTCTTGAAAAATAAAAAAAAAAGAAATTTATTTATGTAAAGAGATAGAGAAAAGTGTGTTTGGCTTTTTAATTTATCATGATATGCATCAGCGATAGTTATCTTTAAGGAAAGAGTTTTTGAAAGGTTCCTGGAAGATGAATTATTGGAAGGGTGTAAGTACTCAGGAACTGTTTTGAAGTAGGGTTTCTGTCTGAAAGAGAAGACAGAGGGATTGTTTGCTTCTGAAGAGTCCCAGCAGTAACCATTGCTCTAAAGCATCATTTTCTCATTACCCCTCAGTTTGCTGATGTGGATTGGGCATCTCTCTTCTACGGATTCTTATCATCTAGGCGGTTTTTACCACAGTTCTGATATTGTCAGGAAATTTTGTTTGATCATTGAAAAATATTTGATCAAATTTTGTGATATTTTACTGTCATTTTTTCCTGTTTATTCTCACAATAAATCAGAAATTAAATCAGTGTTCATATCTGTTAAAATGCTTCCAATTAGTTCAACTTAGATTAATAAATTAAAATGAACTGAGCTAATGTTCCTTAAGCATGATACACACACACACGTACATATAATATATATATATATAATAAATAAAATGTCAACTCTATGAATTACTAAGTAATTTCAGCATGTATAAATGCATATTTCTTTTCAGGTGTGCAATTTTTGCTAATACATTTCCTTTTCCTTCTTTCCATAAAATGTTGAGAATAGGTTTATCTCATGCTTACTTAGACAAACTCATCAAGAATAAGAAATCTCTCGTCTCCAGGGATAAGAACAAGGTTGATGCACAATGCATTTTCTGTACACATTGGTAAGAAGCAGTATCAGGGATTTTCAGAGCCCTAAGTTAGAATGAGTGTGCTTCTCTATTAAACAAAGTGAGTCTGTGATAGAGGCTTGAGAGACATAGAGGCGACATATCCTGCTGGGATAGGAAGAGTCAATGCCGAGGAAATTAAGAGTTTGACTTCTGGCAACTGAAATTGGTGGTTTAGAATATGCAATTGGCCAAACATAAAGATAAAAATACTTATTGTTTGGATAACATAAATAGATACTAACTATCACTATCAATCCAGAGTTAATTTTCCTTAAGGGCATAGAAAAGCCATTGAAAATAAGAAGTCAAATTGAGAGCTGGCTTGAGAACCCCATCAGGAAATTTGTAACACACAATTAAGTGGGGAAGGATCTATAAGGCTGTCTGGTACAAATGAGGGTGCTTGTCAGCAGCTGAAATCTAAGTTGAGAAATGAAGAACAAAATGAGGCATGTAATGAAATATGATTGAGACGCATCTATGACTTCTGTGATTGATGAGATTTTTCTTGGATGACACTACTTCAGCATTATGGTAAATAGGTTAATCAATAATCTTTATTAGGCAAAAGCAATATCAATTCCACCATCGTTTTCAAGTATAGCTAGCTATTTTTTTTATATTTTAGCTTCGTAAGAACATAAGTACATTAATTTGAACATTTCTGAAAGATAGGCAGAAGGTAAAGTATTTTGGTTAAGAAACTAATTTCTAAAAATTAGATCAAATTGTATTCATTTCAAGACTACGTAAAGAGTATCCTTTGAGATGTATATGTATACATATATCAGAGCTAACCCTAAGTCAATAATTACTTGTGAATAACTCCAGCCATTACATATACAATTATTCAGTATATGTGAAAATAATACCAGTAGGGCTTCACTCTTTATATTTAAATGAATTTTTTTGAGCCTGTACTGAAACTCGCTCTGTAGACCAGGCTGTCCTTGAACTCACAGAGATTCACCTGTCTCTGCCTCTGAGATTAAAGGCCTGTGCCCCCACCACCCAGCCATGAAAGCATCTTTAAAACACTGAAAACATGCAAATATCCAATGAGAATTTTATGCCATAATCAAGTAGAAATTATTTTAGGAAGTCAATACTTCTATATCACTCAAGATTTAAGAAACATGTCCAAATATTTACATTAATTATCACAAGACAAAAAACAGACAAATTCAGTACCTATTCACTACAAAACCTCTCAGCAAAACTAAGATAAGGGTATTTTCACAGCTATATTAGGAATATTAAAAAAAAAGTCTTAGAACTTTCACCCAATTTAATAAGCAGCTATTTCCCCCACAACCAGAAAAAAAGAGTACATCAACCTTCACAGCTTCTACTCAACAGTATACAGGAAGGTTTAACTAGGGCAACAAGACAATGAAATGGTAAGACAGACTGAAAACACATAGAATTCCCCTTGGGCACAGATGGTTTTCTTAGTGGAAGCTCCCTACAGTTCAGCAGTATAGGTGTATGTTACAGCACAGGTAAATTTCTCTACTGACTTTTGTTTCTTTTCGGTCTGTGTTTTAGAATTGCTTTTTACTCTTTCTATTGCTTTGACATTTCCTGAAGGTCTTCTTGAATAGATTTTTTTTCTTGCACCTGGGATAGATATAGCCCTGTCATATACAGATATGTTATTGTAGTCATAAAACATGGGGGAGTGGACTATTTCATACTCTTACGGTGAATCTCAGTTTTTTGTTTGTTCTGTTTTTCATCCTTTAAGTGAGACACAAAACTTAGAAGATACTGGTTGGAAAGTCCTTGCCGTCCATTTCTGCCACAGCTCTGGTAAGTTCTTTCACTCTGGAATTTAGATTTTTGTAACAAAGCATGATTTTGTCTTATATCTAAGTACTTACATTTCCGTGACCCAGTTTTCAACTGTGAGAATTTGAGAATGTTCTTGGGAATAACTCCTGCAAATATCTATGAAGTTCTCTAAGATTTTTTTAAATTTATTTATTTATTAAAGATTTCTGCCTCCTCCCCGCCACCGCCTCCCATTTCTCTCCCACTCCCCCGATCAAGCCCCCCTCCCTCATCAGCCTGAAGAGCAATCAGGGTTCCCTGACCTGTGGGAAGTCCAAGGACCACCCACCTCCATCCAGGTCTAGTAAGGTGAGCATCCCAACTTCCTAGGCTTCCACAAAGCCAGTACGTGCAGTAGGATCAAAAACCCATTGCCATTGTTCTTGAGTTCTCAGTAGTCCTCATTGTCCACTATGTTCAGCGAGTCCGGTTTTATCCCAGGCTTTTTTCAGACCCAGGCCTGCTGGCCTTGGTGAGTTCCCAATAGGACATCCCCATTGTCTCAGTGTGTGGGTGCACCCCTCGCGGTCCTGAGTTCCATGCTCGTACTCTCTCTCCTTCTGCTCCTGATTTGGACCTTGAGATTTCTGTCCTGTGCTCCAATGTGGGTCTCTGTCTCTGTCTCCTTTCATCGCCTGATGAAGGTTAATATTCAGGAGGGTGCCTATATGTTTTTATTTGGGTTCACAATTTGTCTCACAGGACTATCTGCCTCATGCTTGTCCACACACAGTCTCCAGCATTTTGATAAAATAGCATAAAATCTCATATCACTTTGGGGATTTAGTAGTCTGGCTCAGGCCAGCAGACTTGCCTAGTGGATCTATAACTGGAGTATTCCACATTTTCAGTGGTTTTCCTTTTTTCTTTTTTTCTTTCTTTTTTGGCCCTCCAATCTCAATTACCTTTAATCTCTATCCTGGATCTCTACACTATTTGTGTGAGAATACAATATGGTATAAAATGGTCATTATTTTTTTCTCCTAAAGTTTACATAGAATTTTACAGTGAAGGTTTGTGGTTAAAAAACTTAGTTGTTTTGAAAACAAATATTGGCTATTTTCTCAGTTTATTTTTCACGTTTTGATGTTTTCTGAGATTTATTCTCCCCCCAATGGTGTTTTCTGAGATCAGAGGAGGCTGACAACTTCCTAACGTTTCAGATGTTAACATTGGATTCAGAAGATTAATGACGGAAAAATTTCCAGGCCTCCATGCAATAATTTTTGGCATATTTTGAAAATAAGTTAACCCCTTTGACTGTGACTTCAGCCTGGTCTACAGAGCAAGTTCCAGGACAGGCTCCAAAGCTACACAGAGAAATGCTATCTCCTACCCCCCGCAAAGAGTATCTGTACTGAACATGTGAGACTATGCCATTGTTCCCTACCTACTGCAATGCAAAAGCTACTTCACTTTTACAATGAATGAGCTACTTCTAATAATTTAGATGTTATAGAAAACATCACGCAGGAAGAACATATGTATACCTTGTATGGTTTTCTGTAAAATTGAATAGAATGACCTTTAACTCTAATCCATAGATTGTGGATTTCAAATGGGAATTGAGAAAAAATATATAGGCATCCATAACTGAAAAAATAACCTGAAATACCAATTGTAAATTTAAATATTTAGAACCTTCACAATATGCCCTAGTTAATAGAGAATCATCAAGTCATTATTTTGATAAAGTACTATACAATAGAGGGATATGCACATGTAGCTTTTATCATAGTCAAATACACTACTAGTACCATAAATAGTAATTGTCTTCCATCAAACACTGCAGAATATGGTGAACTCCCCGATGCTGATATTGACAATTACAAGGTGGATATCACGTGAACACCTAACTGCAGTGTGTGATGCTGACTCAGCAGGGAAAACTGAGTTTAGGCATATGAGCAAATGACTTCAATTCTAATATGAACACACTTGGATTAAATTTTCAAAGAGATTCATACATTAAATGGAAATCTGGATTTAAATTATTTCAAACGTCTGTGTACTCTCATGGAAACAGCAATGTTCTTAGATAATTGGTACTGAAATTCTATATTAATTATATCTGGCAGTTTGAATGGGCCAAAACTTTCAACTGCATAGCTACTGTGTGAAACCTGTTTCTGTCCCCCAGAACTGTGTCACACAGAATTATATTAAGTGTTTAAGTTCAGTTTACTGTTACTCTAGACAGCTTGGAATGAGCTTGTGATATTACAACTGGCTAACAAATTGACTAGATATTAGTAGCCAGAAGATCCAAGCAGACAGCAAAATGACAGTGGCTGATTCATCTGTATCCCAACATCTACTCGTCGGCATCCCCATATCTCCTACTCATCTTCATCCCCACATCTCCATTATATACCATGTGAAAATGGACATGAGTTTACAAATACTAAATCTAAATCTAATGTCACTGTTTTTTTTTTTACTGAACTTGACCTCCAGGGGGCAGAGAAGCAACAGAGGGAGGGGCAATGCAGACTATTGCTAGAGTTGACCTGTAGTGTGAAAGGATTGTAATGCCCATATTCACATCCACTAGCATGCAGTGCTCAAGCAGGTCAGAAAGGGACATTGAATCCCCTGGAATCAGAGTTAGAGAAGGGTATGAGCTATCTTCCTTGTACCAGAAATCAAACCAGGGTTTCCCAGAAGAGCAGCCTATGCTCTAAACCACAGAACCACATTTCCAGCTATAGGAGATAATATATTTCAATTTGAAAATGATACCCATATTAAACATAAATACTGATGTAAGCAAGGGCAAAAAAACATTCTTCATGCACTTAGGAAAATGCTAAGTTTAATACTAGTTCTGTAGTATGAAAAAGAGATTATTATTATCATCATAATTATTATTGATGTTGACTTAATATGAAGATTTTAGGTCCATGAAACTCATACTTTTGCTCTGGGTGCTACTTGCTATTTATAGAGGTGAACTTTATTCCTTGCTTGTGTTTAGATCAGTATTGTTTTAATAAAATTTAAGTTTAATGGGAAATATTGGAATTTATTAGTTTAATTTTGCAGTTGTATCATTGCATGCTAGAGAGTCAAATAGACTGGATTCCCAGGTCCTTGGATTTCTTACATCTCACAATACATCTCTGACAGCTACTTTCTAGCATACAATGATGACAACTGCATACCTTTTATTAAAACACATACACACACACACATGCAAACACACACACACACACACACACACACACACACACACTTTGATATTACTTAGTCCTCAGAGTTGTTAGTCTTAACCACTTTGGGTTCTCAAGTGATATCATCTAGCTGTTTTTTTTTTTTTTTGGTATATTTTTCTAACAATGGGGTTGATCAAACGGCAAGATTCTTATGGACTGAGAACTTCTAGGTCTATGAAAATTTTAGGACTAAAACTTGGACTATGCTTGGAAAACCAAGGAGATTTGTTACATTGTTCTAAGTCCCTAATTTAATCCAACAAAATCACTTGTAATACACTGGAGAGAATAATTCAGCTGTTTAGACTGTTCCTATAACCCCCCTTGCTCGTCCCTACAAACTGCTTGCCTTAAGTGTTATTTTGGCATATCACACCTCTTGGGGTTTAGAATAATAAATGGTGTACAATTTAACGACTGTCCTCATACCTATATTCTCTTATCTGCAGCAATGCCTTCCCTTTCCTTAATGGCAAAACTGGAAACTGGAAAACATTTTAATATCACTGTCACAGACCTTCTTTTTATATGATGTCCCTCACCATTTATAAAGGGAATCACTTATTTTACTTATTTAAACTTATTTAAATGGTTATCCATTTCTTCATTTTCTATTTTAACTGCTTTTATTTTACTTGTGTCAACCTTTCAAACTGGCCATCAAATCTGATTCATACTCCTCCAAGTATGGCCCTAAAAACATTCCTTTTTTTTTTAACCTACAATGCCAACACTCATAACTTACCTTGACCACTGCAGTAACTTAATAAATGGTCATCTCCAATCCATGTATAGTTTCTGATCAATTTTTGTTGTTCAACTCATGTGATTTTTGAGAAATGAAAACTGATCAGTTCCTTCCTGTTGAATCAAAATGACTCAATGACGTCATATTATATTCAGCAGAAACTGGAGACCATTAAGGTGACTCAGGAAATCCTAGAGCATTTGGCCTGAGATCCTTGTCTATCTTGTTTTCTCTCCCAATAACTCTGAATTTTCTCTGTAGTTCTTAGAACATGAAGGCTGGCTGGCTTCTTACATACAGGTTTTATCTCTGTTGCTGTCATTTCTTTAGAACCTTAAATAATATTTAGATTTCAGTTTTTTGTAATATGTCTCCTTATGAGTATCATTTTCTAGAGTTTTAAATGATTTAGGACCTCCTGTTATTCATTATCATCGTACTGTGTACATTACAATCAAAATAACTTTAATAAATCTAATCCAGCCATTCTGTACTTGACTATATATTTGCAAACAACTATTGGACTATGGAGATGTTCACTTGGTAAAATGTTTGCTGCATAAGAATGAGGAGCAGAGTTTCATCTTCAAAAATTATGTAAAAAGTGCTGGGTCTATCATCATACGTATCTATAATTCCAAAATGGCAGAACGTAGACGGGTATTGATGATCTCTATGCCAGTGTCAAACCCTGCCCCATAAAAGAAATGTGGACAAGGTTGAGTAACAATCTATGCACTGATACAGGTGTGGACTCTATATGACAAAATCTTAAGACTACATAGACTTGAAAAATTATCTTGTGTTTATGTTTGGAAACTTAAAATTTAGAAATTTTTATAAAGTAGCACTACAATACCGTGCTGTGGCAGACTAGAACTTGGTTATCTTACCTAACATCATTTTTGTGTCTGTTATACAAGCTTACCCTTCTTGACTTCCAGGGATCATTATTTTACTCTCAACTTTTATGAAATCATCATCTTAATCTTTCACCTTAAAACAAGAACATGCAGCATTTGTCTTTCTGTCTCAAGTTTATTTCATCCAACAAATTATTCTCCAGTGCCATGAGGTTGTTGGCAATGGTGGGATTTGATTCTTTTTATTCCTAAATAATATTTTATCTTGTATATACCACCCATTTTCTTTACCCATTCTTATCTCAATGGACACCTCATCAATTCCATATTATGGAGCTATCTTATGGACAAACAGAAAGGAGGAACACTCAATCAAGAAAGAGACAGCTTGAGAATGGATCCCACCAGTCACTGGAGCAACGACAAAAATGGAATCAATTCTGTCAGGAATATTTAATGATCTTACAGTCATAGTTTAACTTACAAGGGAGGTTACATTGACAAGGAGATCTTAGAGGTGTGGTGCAGTTAGCTGAGACTGTTGCTTATAGACAGATCTGAATGCAACATGTTCTTAACTCCGACATAAAGCCATGTACCTAGAATGTTGGCGAATAGTGTTGGTTATGTGTTTGGCAAACCAGGTGGCAGTGGAATCACCGTGGAAATGGTAACTTTAAGTCACACTAGAAAAACCAAAAGGAAAACCAAAAACAAGAAAACCTTTAAAGTGCAGTTGGAAAGTGCTTGTTCACCTGAGAAAGCCTATGACAATATTCTCAAATTACCAATAGAAAAAAGTATGACACCAAGTCTCGTTAAAGTTAATTTATTAAAAAAGTTTAACTTAATGTCTTTCTTACATACTAAATTCTGGTTCATGCAGTTTCTTTTGAAAAAAAGATCTACTAAAAATGGATAGTCTTTTAAATATACATGTGTGTGTATATATATATATATATATAGCAGAATACATGCTGTTCTATTAATTAGTGTACAAAGAATTATTAAGTTTGATGATTATGTTCAATTAAATATAATGAATATAATTAATGTGTTGCTGTTTTAGGTTCTTGAGTTAATAGTGCCATTAACTGATGCTGTTTTTGTTGTGGTAGTGATTATTGTCATAATAGAATACTAAACTTAAAATGAGAGAAAAGTTGAAAGCTTGACCAGTGTTTTTCTTACTTAAATCTGTGTGCACAAATGCATGTGTATATATGTGTATATACACATATCTATATGCATGAGTTATCATCTCCATTACACACTGTAATGTCAGCATGAATATTTTAATTTTCTTTTTCATATTAACTTTTCTTCATAGTGTTAGGTGCTACAAACTACTTCTTTCTAAAAACCTACTTAAAAAGAGAAGTTTTAAACCCAAACATGGTTTGTATATCTTCTTGGATCTCACTGTTTAGTTCTGACTAGCCTGGAACTTGCTATGCAGACCAGGCTGGCCATAAACTTACAGAGATCCAACTGTCTCTGCCTGATGAGTACTGGTATTAATGGCACACACCACCACTCCTGGTCAACAGAGATTAAAATAAACACATCGTGAAAGTTTCCTTCTTTATCTAAATTTAGGTTCAAAGTATTTAGAAAGTATCAATTTAATTTTAATTTTTAATTACTTCTTTGGATAATGGATAGGAAATTTAAAATTATTTATATCATTATTTTTCAGTTTACCACATAGCTGCACAATGTTTATAAAGTATATTGAGTATAAGGTAGAGTCATTGAAATTTACTTTATTAAAGACAAAATTGATTTTCTCAAATGTGTTAAATTATGTATTTATGTTTAAGTCAGATACAAATATCTCAGACACAGACATACTCCTCATATGTATTGAATAACGCATGGTAATGGTTTCCTTAACTCTTCTATACATTACAAATTCATAATCTACAAATATGTCTTATATAACAATTTAATTTGTTATAATTTTATATTTTGTTGGAATGCTTATTTTTATTTGTCATTTAAAATCAATTTACTTATTAATAGACCCTAACTTCTAGATATACAACAATAATATTTTCATGTTCTGTGGGCTTGTGGTTTTCAAATCATATAATGTACTTTTTGGATTTCTATATATGTAATATTATGAACTTCAATTTAATCCTTCTGTTCTCCATATCATTAATTTATATGTTTCTCCATATCTTCATATGTGTGTGAAATGTCTAAATTATATTAATTATACATAATTGATGTATATATATATATATATTAAATGTATAAGAAAGATTAGGCTTTATTTCCTGGAATGAAAAGTCATTCCTAGAATAACAATTTATTTAAGAACAAAACATTAATGCTTCATTGCTGGCTAGCTGCCTTTGATAGAGGGGGGGTCAGTTATTGACCTGACAGTCAGACTAATGAGAACAGATGTCATAAATAAACAAAGTAGACAAGTCATAATACAATCGAAGAAGATGATTGCCTTCTCAGTTCTTATTCCCTGAAATAAAGACTTACTAGCTTTATCCCTGTAAATGGAAAAACTGCTGATTGGATCTTTCAATATTCTTGTTGTACTCTTGGCAGGAATCAATAAACTTCTCTGTCTTTGTCTAATTCAACCAATCCACCAAGATAGTCAAAACCAACTAATCTAGAAGGAGGAAAGGGAACTTTCTCATTCACCAAACAGAAAAGCCTAGACTCGCCAGAAAAAAAAACAAAACAAAACAAAACTACTAGATTCTGGTTTTCAGATCACGTCCTCTTTGAGCTATCCTTCTTTCTTTGCTATGCTGACTTGTATGTGTAACAAACCTTGGCTATATGTTGTGACCATAGATTTTGCCTGTTTCTGAATTCTTCAATGGGAGAAAATTAACTATGTCTAACACTACAAAAATGACAATATTAGGTGAAACATTCTTTAAATGTGTGTATCCATCTGACAACTACTTGAATAACTTACAGTAATGCTCTTAGTAATCACCAACACAAGATATAGAATTATTATTACTCAGACTTTCTTCCATCCATCCATCCATCCATCCATCCATCCATCTATCCATTCATGTCATGCATCCTTCTGTCCACTTATCCATTTATCCATCTACCCACCCATTGACCCACCTACCCATTCACCCACCCAACCATCCACTCACCCACCCATCTATCTGCATGTTCAGACTGCCATGGATTGTATTTTACAGGAGTTTCCATTAAGGACTTGATGAACCAGTTATGCCATTGGGCCTTGTAGATACACTTGAACCACGAGGATTCCAGAGCACACAGTAAGTGAATCCCTGCTTGTACCTTACCACCTTTATTTCTTCTTGTGAAATACATTTGCCTCACTATTGTTTTTCAAGGCCCCATCCAACAGCAGGTATGAATCAGCTGCTTCCTGATTTTGACTTATAACTGTACTTAGAGAGTAGCATTATAAATACACAAAACTATTTTGCCTTCTGGTTCATTCTTCCTAGCTACAACCTCTAATGTGGCCATGGGAGTAAGCTAATACAAAGGTACTATGCACATACATGAACAGCTAATTTGAATATACTCTATTGATGACATTTGTATGATGACATGAGTATCAAAGGGGCCTTGTCTGAGAGGAAAATGGATATTTTGCAATAAAGAATTAATTTTATCACTGATACTTTAACATGTACACTTAATATATTTAAATTAACCTTACAACTATAACCCAAGTCTAAATTTATTTTTTGTACATTTCATGCATATGTGTGTATGTGAATTTGTCAGATAATATTTAAAATTTTGACAAATAATATGGTTTTCTCTTAATGTATTCTTATTTCCCTTTCTTCTTGCTCCCATTGTTGCTCTTGAATAGTCCATTGTCATTTGCTTCTCTCTCCAGTAGTATCTTCTCTCTGAAACTGTGTGTCTTAAACCTTCAAAGTCATTGATCATAACTTAATGTTTAAATAACTATGAATTTGTTTTTTCTTAATTCTGTTTCATGTTTTTTAGACTTTCTGGATCTATGAAATGGTGACCACCGAAAGTCTTTTTGTGCTTCTAAAACTGAACACTGGCACATGCATGATTCAGAAGGGAAGATTTTTTGTTCACAACATGAGATTCTGGACAGACCATTGTCAAAGTACCCACATATAATGAGGACATTTACACTATATCTGATGTTAGAAGGCTAAATGGGAAGAAAATGCATGAAGGATTAAGAGTGAGGGAAGTCAACTTCTCTTTAAAATAACTCAACAATTCCCACGACAAAAGCTCTGAGTACAGAAGTCTTTGCTCGAGTTTAACCATCTCTCACATGTGCCTCATGTCAACAATCCTTCATTGGTGATTAATATCCAACACCTGATTGCCAAAGGCATGTTCATGGTGCCAGCTTTCACTAATTTGTCCTACTCGTTCAAGGAAATGTATTCACAGAATGCCTCATGTAGAGTTGATTTTTTCTCATTTTTCAATATCTCTTACATCTCTGTTGTGGGCTTTCTACATCATTGTGTCATTTATATATGAATTAACATTATCATTATTTTGAAAATTTTGAGTTTGTATGTAGTCTTTCCAAAATTCCAAATTGACTGAATTTTGGAACAACTTACTTTTTTAAAATAGGCTAGTCGTCTTCATTTTTACTTTTCTTTATGTGTTTAGGCACAGAAACATAATTAATTTGTATTATTTAAAGTGAATTGGTGTTTGGAATACACATATGATGAACTATCTAACTAATTGCCATCTAACTCAATTAATAGATTTTTTCCATATGCAATTGTAATTTTAATTTTAGTTTATCATTTTACAATTATAACAAAGATGATACTTTTTAAACTTTTTCTTTAATATCTTGTTAAAAAATGTAAATTATCAAATCTGCCTTCATCTTATGTTTTGATTTCGTCCCCATCCCCTACCTCACTATTCTCTCTCAAATTCTCAAGCTCTTTATTTTATTTTTTAAACCCATTGAGTCCAGTTGGTGCTGTCAGTGTGTACATGAGTGTGGAATCATCTGCTGGTGCACAAGGGTCTTGTGGACTTTCCTGTATATCACACCCCTTCTACTAAGGTTGAGGGATCAAGGCTGGGCATTGAAGATGGATTATTGGATGTTCTTTTTTGAGGTATTGTCTCATGGGTTTTTTTTTTCATTCTTTTTTTTTATTGAGAAAAGGAGAAAAAGAAAAAAAAAACAAGTTTCCACCTCCTCCCAGCCTCCCATTTCCCTCCCCCTCATCCCAACCTTCTCCCCCTCTTCCCACCCTTCTCCCCCTCCCCCCACTCCTTTCCCCCTCCCTCTCCAGTCCAAAGAGCAGTCAGGGTTCCCTGCCCTGTGGTAAGACCTAGGTCCTTCCCCCTCTGTCCATATCTAGGAAGGTGAACATCCAAACTGGCTAGGCTCCCACAAAGCCAGCACGTTAAGGAGGATCAAAACCCCCTGCCATTGTCCTTTGCTTCTCATCAGCCCTCATTGTTTGCCATGCTCAGAGAGTCCAGTTTTATCCCATGCTTTTTCAGTCACAGTCCAGCTGGCCTTGGTGAGCTCCCAATAGATCAGCTCCACTGTCTCAGTGGGTGGGTGCACCCCTTGTGGTCCCGACTTCTTTGCTCATGTTCTCCCTCCTTCCAATGCTATAAATTTAATTCTTCAATTAAATTCCTTAATACAGTACTTCAATTTGTCTCTAAGTTATTCATTATAACCTAAATATTCATGAAGGCAGTCTTGGGATATTCTGTTATAATCTGTGGTGAAACTTTATTGTTTTGTATACTTATTCCAAGGTACTACTGAGCTTTCAGATTAACAATGTGTTTGATAATCTACATATAGTCCTTTGAACTATAAATTAAAACCCCAAATTCTTTACGTGAAACAGCTACAGTACTTAGGTTCTGTGATCCTGGGTGTTATCTCAGAACTTAATTACTTAATAACATTTACACACACACACTTGATTATTTTCCTTGGCCACGTGTACTTGCTGTTATTTTGGATGTGTCTGTGTGTTGTCTTGATACAGCTAGAGTCATCAGAGAGGAAGGAAACTCAATTGAAGAAAGTCTTCCATATGATCCAGCTGTAAGGCATTTTCTTTATTAGTGATTCGTGTAGGAGGATCCAGTCCTTTGTCAATGCTGTCATTCCTGGACTGGTGTTTGTTGGTTCTATAAGAAAGCACACTGAGCAAACCAGGGGAAACAAGCAACAGCTCCTGCCTCCAGGATTCTGCCCTCACTGAGTTCCTGTCCTAACTTCCTTTGAGGATGAACAGCAATATAGAAGTGTAAGCCTAATAATCCTTTCCTCCCCAAGCTGCCCTTTAATTATGGTGTTTCATCACAGCCATAAAAACCCTAAGACACCACTGCTAATCTTTTCAGAACCATGTATCTAAACACACATCAAATCATTTTACCCAGAAATTTTTATTTGGTATAGAAATGGTTTTTACATTGACTATCAACAGAATAAAGAACTGGAATACTTCTAGAATGCCAGATTTTAATGATATTTCTAATCTCTGTGGTTTATGATACTATTATTTCTTAGCAACTGATCATTAATATATAATTAATTTTTATAGTATAAAATAAATTCTCTAAGAATTCTAGTCTATATAAAGAGCAAAACAAAAACTAATTCCTTACTGTCAGTCTAAATTATTAATATGTGGACTCATTCACTATAAATGTTTGCTGCCCTCAGTTTCACCCATCCTCTCCATAACAACAATTATGAGCTTTTGTTACTCTGGAAGGATGCTTTACAATTTTGGCTCCATTAGACAACTGTATCTCAAATGAAACAATTAAACTTTAATTTGATATCTTAACTATAAATATCAAATTTATTTGAATGAGCTCATTAAATATACTTAGTACTAACACTGTTAATTTGGGTAATGTGTAAATCAATTATTTCCTTAAAATAGAGTGCTAGAATATATGTAAATTAAAAAATATTGTTTACTTTCTTGAAATGAGATGTAAAGAGCCAACTTATATATTTATAAAGTCTTTTAAGATTTATTTTTATCTTTTCATATATGAGTATAAAGCATTTTGATTGTATCCACCCATTTCAACCCTCTTTAGACCGTCCTATATGTCAACCCTTTTTACATTCCCCTGTCTGACTTCTTCTATAATAATACACACACACACACACACACACACACACACACACAACCTACTTTGTCTAGTTAGTAATACCAGTATGCACATGAATGTAGAGCTGAGCTGTAAGACCTGGAAGTCCCCAAGAGGCTCCTGCAAAAAGAAAAGCAGCTTTTCCTCTGTCATCTGAGTCCCACTGCCTATAACTCCACAACTAGCAGTGGTACCTATCTTAAGTGCTTGTTTCCCATCCAGGCAGGGATGCTGGCTTATGTGATCATGTACAGGTAGACAGAACCATTAGCATCCATGAGTACAGTACCTTGTATGGTCCAGGAGATACAACATTACAGTAGTCTTCCTGATACTGAGCTTCTTTAATATCCCACAAAGTCATACAAAATTTTATTTTCTACCTTGTTCCAGACCTTTACTCATAAAAGTATTTTGAAGATTATTTAAACTTATTTTTACCTATGCCATCTAAACTATAAATATTTATTTATGCTATTATAAAATGTTATAACCAATTTCCTACTGTGGGACTATGATTTTATCCTGTAAAGATTTGTTTCTTGTACTTGTTTAATAAAATGCTGATTGGCCAGTAGCCAGGCAGGAAGTACAAGTGGGGCATCTCAGCAGGAAGTAGAGGCAGGGCAATGAGAACAGGAGAATTCTGGGAATGGAAAGAGTCAGTCTGCAGTCATCTCCCAGACGCAGAGGATGCAAGATGTGACTGCTTGTCCAAAAAAGGTAGCAAGCCATGTGACTAACACTGACAAGAATAGTGGGTTAATGTAAGATATAAGGATTAATAAATAAGAAGCCTGAGCTACTAGGCCAACCAGTTTATGATTAATGCAGACCTCTATATTAGTGCAGACTAAAATGCTGTGGGATCTGGTGGGACAGAAACATCAGTCAAAAATTTCCTTTATACCACATTTAAGTAATATCTTATGATTCACAAAATATTTTCATGTTTATCATTACTTGGGAGTTAGAATGTTAAAATATCTAAGTTTTGTAGATGGAGAAATGAGTCTCAAAAAGAGGAAATGATTAACTTAAAAAATATATATAGATTCATGAAGTTCCAGAGACTATTGGGGACATGTCTACCCAGAAAACTTGCTGGTTTTTTCCCCAAAAGATGCATGAGTGAAATAATAAGACCCAAGTAAGGAGATGAGAGTTCTTTGGCATGCTCTATGATTTTGCATAATTGCTCTAGGCATTTGGATTGTTAATATCACTATCTAAAAACTGAAAATAATGTGTCTTTTGAAATTGTTATCAATGAGATTAGATAAATAACATGTATGACACAATGAAGCTTAAACACTGAATTAATTTTATTCCTTTATATCTCAGGAGTCATAACTTTGAGCCTTTCAGGAACCTGCAATTAGGTAGAATTCCACATTTTACCTTTTGATTAAATCATGTGTTATACTTCTGGCTCTTTCTGCTCTTTTTATTCACAAAACTGTGTTAGTCATTATCTTCAAAGTGAAAAACTACACAGTTTGGACTTGGGTGTTGAAAGAAGGCTGCATTCATGTATTCATAGCTGGACTTGATCTATTTGTTTTTATTTCCATTTCCTTCCAACTCTAAGACCAAATAAGTATGAAACATGCTTCTAAAATTATAGTTATGCATTGGCATTCATTTGAAATGGGCTATTTCATAATTACTGAAACATTGAACCCATAAAATATTCAAGTTGCTTATACAGGCTGTAGAAGAAATTATAAGAGAAAATGCCCTTTAGGTAATTCCTTCTGAGATTCAGTCTAGGAGCTTCCTAGAGGATTTGCACCTCTGCTGTGACTACCACTATCTGCTGAAATCTCCCTGCTCTGAGAGGCCAATGTATCTGACAGTTTAATTGAAGGGACCATGACAATAGATGATCCCTATTCCTTCATTAGTTTCTTCCTGCTCATGTCATTTTCATGTTGTTTTATTATTTTTACATCTGTGCTCAAACTCACTGAATATTCAAATAGGAGAAAACCTGAAGAGTTGGACAGTTTTCCAGATAATTTATTTTCTATTTTTTTTTCTGAAAGCTGACTGCAGCTCATGTTGTATAGAAAGATTCCTCTCTTGTATTTCTAAGATATGATTTTCTTATCTTTGCCTTGTATCATCAATTGCTTTTGACACCCTATATTTACTTATACTTATATTTATTTATTTTAAAAGATTTATTTATTTATTATGTACTCAGTGTTTTGACTGCATGTGTGCCTTAATGCCAGAAGAGGGCACCAGATCTCAATGTAGACGGTTGTAAGCCACCATGCAGTTGCTAGGAATTGAACTTAGGGCCTCTGGAAGATCGACATCTGAGCCTATATTTATAACTGTACTTCACTGGCCAGGTGAAGAAATGCCATCCAGAATTTTATTTATGCTTACATGTTTCCTTTACTGGATAAACACAAATTAAAGAAATCAAGAAGATATGGTTTTCTGCTTAGAATGTCAATGCCTATTTAATCCTGTCTTTGTTTTGTCTTGTTTGATGCCTTAAGAGTTTGGTGTAAGTATACATTCAGATATATTTCTGATGTGATTTTATAGTAGAAATGAGCCATGTATCATTTAGAAATGTCTGTTAACTAGGGTATTTACAAGATAGGGATACGATTTGCACAATAACTGCATGAACTATATTTTTGGCAAGGTTATCGTCCTGTGAGTCCTTCACTCTTTTACAGATGCACTAATCTTAGAGGATCAGAGAATTGTAAAACGATAAAACTAATTCATGGTAGTGATAAAACAAAACAGGTTAACATGCTTAAGAAAGAGACATGGGAACAATTTAGTAGTGTGAACTCATACAGGAAATTATCCACTGGATGCTGAAGACTGCAGCTATCTAAAGTAAACAAAAATTGGTATGTCATAGCAATTAAACAACTTAACACTTATTGTCTCTAACATAATGGAGGCAAAGACTCTGAACATCTGTGTTAGATCACTCTTCTAATTCAACAAAACAATGTCAAGATGCCTATATCTTTAGGAAGATGATAAGAATAATGCTGGAAAGTAAAATTTGCAAA